GTCTTTCTTCATTTGACTTATTTCACTCAGCATAATATTTTCCATTTCCATCCATGCTGTCCCAAAGGGTAAGAGTACCTCTTTTTTGCAGCTGCATAGTGTTCCATAGTGTAAATGTCCCAGAGTTTTTTTTAACCACTCATCTACTGATGGGACTTAGGCTGTTTTAAGATTTTAGCTATTGTAAATAACACTGCTATGAACATAGGGGTGCATATATTCTTTCCGATTGGTGTTTTGGGGTTTTTAGGATATATTCCCAGAAGTGGGATCACTGCGTCAAACAGAAGTACCATTTTTAATTATTTGAGGAAACTCCATACTGGTTACCCTAGCTGCACCAGTCTGCATTCCCACCAGCAGTGTACTAGGGTTCCCTTTTTTCCACATCCTCACCCACACTTGTTGTTTGTTGGATTTTTTATAATAGCCATTCTGACGTGTGTGAGGTGATACCTCATTGTAGTTTTAATTTTCATTTGTCTGATGATTTTAGTGACTGAGCATTTTTAATGTGTTTCTTGGCCATTTGTATGTCCTCTTTAGAGAAATGTCTATTCAAGTCTTTTGCCCATTTTTTAAATTGGATTGTTTTTCTTTTTGTTGAGTTGTATGAGTACTTTATATATTTTGGCTATTAACCCCTTATTATATGTATCATTGGCAAATACGTTCTCACATTCAGTGGGTTTCCTTTTCAATATGATGGCAGTTTCTTTTGCTGTGCAGAAGCTTTTTATTTTTATGTAGTCCCATTTGTTTATTTTTTTCTTAGTTTCCTTTGCCCTAGGAGATGTATTCTTAAACATTATTGCATCAGATGTCTGAGATTTTACTGCCTATGTTCTCCTCAAGATTTTTATGGTTTCATGCCTTCCATTTAAATCTTTTATCCACCTTGAGTTTATTCTTGTGTATGGTGTAAGTTGGTGGGCTAGTTTCATGTTTTTGCATGTGTTCAGTTTTCTCAGCACATTTGTTGAAGAGAATGTCTTTTTACTTCATTGTATGTTCTTGCCTTCTTTGTCAAATATTAATTGATTGTAATGGCATGGGTCAATTTCTGAGGTCTGATCCATCGGTCCATATGCCTGTTCTTGTGCCAGTACCAAGATGTTTTGGTTACAATGGTTTTGTAGTATAGTTTGATATCCAGTATTGTGATCCCTCCTACTTTTTTTTTCTCTCTCTCTCTCTCTTTTTTTTTTTTTCCCCCCCTCAAGATTGCTGTGCCTATTTGGGGTCTTTTCTGGTTCCATATAAATTTTGAAGTATTTGTTCTATGAAGTATGCCATTGGTATTTTAATAAGGATTGTGTTGAATCTATAGATTTATTGGATAGTATAGACATTTTAATGATGTTAATTCTTCCAATCCACGAACATGGTATATTCTTCCACTTGTTTATATTTTCCTCTATTTATTTTTTCAATGTCCTGTAGATTTCCAAATACAGGTCTTTTACCTTCTTGGTTAAGTTTATTCATATGTACCTTTTTTTGTTGCAATGGTAAATGGGATTGCTTTTTTAGTTTCTCTTAGAGTTCATTATTGGTATGTAAAAATGCCATTGATTTGTGGATATTGATTTTGTATCCTGCTACTTTGCCTAGTTAATTTATTAAGTCTATATAGTTTCTTGGTGGAGTCTTTAGGGTTTTCTGTATACAAGATCATGCCATCTTGCTAATAATGAGAGTTTTATTTCCTCCTTTCCAATTTGGATACCTTTGATCTCGTCTCCTTGTCTGATTGCTGTGGCTAGGACTTCCAATTCTATGTTGAATGAGAGTGGTGGAAGCAGGCATCCCTGTCTTGTTCCAGTTCTTAGGGGAAATGGTTTTAGTTTTTTGTTTTTGTTTTTTTACCCATTTTAGTATTATATTGACTATATGTTTGTCACTTATGGGCTTTATTATATTGAAATATGATCTCTCTATTTCCACTTTACTGAGAGTTTTTATCAAAAAAGGGTGCTGTGTTTTGTTGAATGTTTTTTCTGCATTTATTGATATGATCATGTGGTTTTTATATTTCAATTTGTTATGTGATATATCATAGTTATTGATATGCAAATACTGTACTAACCTTGCATCCCTGGTATAAATCCCACTTGGTCATGATGTGTGATCTTTTATTTTTTATTTTCATTTTTTTTTTCTGTTTAATAAATCTTTATTGTTCATATTATTACAAAACTTCCTCATTTTTCCCCCTCCACCAGGTTCCCACCCCACCCTCTGCCCTTTCCCCAACCCCCATTGTCCTCATCCATAAGTGCACAGTTTATGTTCAGTCTCTTCCTATACCCCCCTCTCCTCCTTTCCCCAAGAATCGTCAGTCCACTCCCCTTCTATACCTCTGATTCTATTATATTCACCAGTTAATATTGTTCATAAGATTTTTTTTTAATTCCCTTGGTTTTTAGATTCACGTGTTGATAGTTACATATTTGTTGTTCATAATTTTTATCTTTATTTACTTTCTCTTCTAAAAGAACCCCCTTCAGCAATTCATATAATTCTGGTTTGGCGGTGATGAACTCCTTTAGCTTTTTTTTATTAGTGAAGCTCTTTATCTGGCCTTCGATTCTGAGTGATAGCTTTGCTGGGTAGATTATTTTTGGCTGTAGGTTCTTGCTATTCATTAACTTGAATATTTCTTGCCATTCTCGTCTGGCCTGCATGGTTTCTGTTGAGAAATCAGCTGACAGTCGTATGGGTGCTCCTTTATAGGTAACTACCTGCTTTGCTCTTGCTGCTTTTAATATTCTCTCTTTGTCTTTTGCTCTTGGAATTTTAATTATGATGTGTCTTGGTGTAGTCTTCTTTGGATTCCTTTTGTTTGGAGTTCTGTGCGCTTCCTGGACTTGTAAGTCTAATTCTTTCACCAGGTGGGGGAAGTTTTCTGTCACTATTTCTTTCAGTATGTTTTCGATATCTTGCTCTCTCTCATCTTCTGGGACCCTCATAATTCTGATGTTGGTTCGCTTGAAGTTATTCCAGACGTTTCTTAAATCATCTTCAATTTTCTGGATTCTCTTGACTTCTTGCTTCTGCGGAGGAGTGTCTTCTGGCTCTTTATGTTCCAAATCTTTGACTTGATTCTTGCGATCTTCCATTTTGTTTTTAGGACTCTGTATAATATTTTTTATTTCAGACAATGTGTTCTTTATTTTTTGTTGATCCCTTATTAGTTCTTGTTGATCCCTTATTAGTTCTTGTTGATCCCTTATTAGTTCTTGTTGATCCCTTTTCATCTCCTCATAGGTCTTATCGACCTTTTCTAGGAAATTCTTAAAAAACCTTATAAGGGTGGTTTTGAACTCTATATCCAGTCTCTTCTTTTCCTCCATTTCTTTTGTTTGTGATCTAATTCCTTGTCTTGGCATTTTCACAGCTTTCCTGAGTTGGTAGGGTGGCTTTGTGTGCTAAGGTGTCCTATATGGTTCAGTGAGTCAGCCTCCCAGTTACCTGAGGTGGACAGTCTTGGTGTAGCCCTTTGTGGGTTGGGTGGGCAGTCTTGTTGTTAAGCCTTGCTTGTTGTTGGTATCACTGGGAAGCGTTGATCTCCAAGCCAATTGGCTATGAGGATCAGAAGTCGATGTGTGATCTTTTAAAATATTGCTGGATCCAACTTGCTAACATTTTGTTTAGGATTTTAGCATCTGTGTTCATCAGGGATATTGACCTGTAATTTTCTTTCCGGTGCTATATCACCTCTTTCATCTCTGACTATTTATTTGGTTCTACTCTGTTTCTTTTTTTTATTTTTATTTTATTTTATTTTATTTTATTGATTTTTCAAAAATGGTTCTATTTCCCTTCTCATGTTGTTGTAATTTTCACTAAGTTACTTAAGAATCTTTATAACCATTGCTTTGAATTCTATATCTGTACATATATCCTTTTTATTCTCTCTTTTCTAAAACATATTTTTATTGATTTCAGAGACGAAGAGAGAGGGAGAGAGAGATAGAAATATCAGTGATGATAGAGAATCATTGATTGGCTGCCTCCTGCACACCCCTTAGTGGGGATTGATCTGGCAACCTGAGCACATGCCCTTGACCAAAATTGAACCTTGGAGCCTTCCGTCCGCAAGCTGATGCTCTAACCACTGAGCCAAACCAGCTAGGGATCATTATTATTATTAATATTATTATTATTATTATGTAATATATGCTTTGTTCTGCAAGTTGGTTTTTGCCTTGAATAAATTTTGGTGATTTTTAGTTCTACCTCTTTCTGTTGGTGACTGCAAAGCATTTATTCATTCCTTCACTGAATATATGTCCTGCCAGGTCCTGGCCCATGAGAGTACTATGATTTACTTAGTTGTTGCTTAGTCAGTTAGTGGTGAACATCCTTGAACCTGTGATTCCTTGTATATTTGCCAAGTTGGGATACCCACCTTTTAATTTTTAAAAAATATGTTTTTATTGATTTTAGAGAAAGGAAGGGAGAAGGAGGAGAGAGATAGAAACATAAATGATGAGAGAGAATCATTGATTGGCCACCTCCTACACGCTCCCTCCTGAGAATCGAGCCCGAAACCCGGGCATGTGCCCTGACTGGGAATCGATCTGGTGACCTCTTGGTTCATGGGTGGACACTCAACCACCGAGCTGCACCAGCCTTTTAAATTTTGATGGAAACCAGCAAGTGGCCTTGTTGTGCCAACTTTTCTTCTCAATGACAACATGAAATTACTATGAGCCACACCTTCTCCTTCTTGGATATTATAATTTTAAAGGTTTGTTTATCTGGTTACCAGATTTGGCTTTAAAAAGGTGCTTGCTGCTGCTTCCTGCTCATGTAGAGGCTGGGCCAGCAGCCACGTGGGAACTCAGAGGAGGGCGGGCACCCCCCAGCTAGTGAGGGTGTCCCGGAGTGCGGACACCTGCTGGGACTCCCATCACCTCATCCCCTGGGCTGGTGCTAAAGTCACCCAGTGCTGCCCCGTCCCATCATGGACACGTGTGGTGGTTTCTTCGCAGGTGGCAACTGGGAAGTGGAAGCAGATCAGTAAATACTGTCCCCTCGACCTCTACTCAGGGTAAGAGACAGTGCTTGTCCTTAGTGCTATCTTCCCTGCAGGGGGTGTGGCTGGGGGTCCTGTGAGGGGTCAGGGCGGGCCTTGTCACGCGGCTGGAGACCTGCAGCCCGTGCCCCAGATGCCCCAGCCGCAGCCCAGGCACAGGCAGGGACTGCAGGCCTGCTGCTGACCCTGCACATCTCCTTTCCGTTTTAGAAATAAGCGGAGAATGTACTTTGCCTTGAAAAGCTTGTTGCAGGAGGCACAGAACAACCTGAAGATATTTAAGGTAAGAGTGCTTCCGTGCTGCGGCTTTCCGCATGGGCCGCCGTGCGGCTGAGCGGCACCCGCTCTCCTCCTGGCCGGCACACACGCAGGGCGGGCCTCCGATGGCATCCCGGGCGCCTGGGCTCTGATCAGCGCCGACCTGACCCTCAGGGTGCCTCTGAGGCCTGGCTGGCATCCGCCTTCCCAGACACCAAAGTCAGGGTGCGTGTAATTCTGGGAAGGACTTGAGGACTGTGTTTGAATTAGACGGTAGATTTCTTCCCGTCAGGGGGCTTATCTGGAACCTGTGGCCAGGCTGGCATTCTGTCTGAAGTGGCCTTTCTGGCTGCCCTGCCGCCTGGGCCCCGGACAGCTTGTCCTGCCCTGTGCCCAGGGCTGGGCCTCAGACCTGAGCCGTCAGCTGCTTCTGTTGCCACGGAAAAAATCCAGAGTTTGGGAGAATTGTCTCAAAATGAATGGATTAAGAGATGGTACACAGCATGGCTTTTTAAAAATAGCATCTGGAGCATTGCAGTCCATTTTCTCAAGTGCCGTCACTTTTTTAAAAATGTATGTTCTTATTGACTTTAGACATGATGAGAGAGAAACATGGATCGGCTGTCTCCCGCACGCTCCCTCCTGGGGTTGGAGCCCACAACCTGGGTGTGTGCCCCCTGGGGAATGGATGCTGTGCCCTCTTGCTCATGGGTCATGCTCAACCAGTGAGCTGCCCTGGCCCGGCCCAGGTGCCGTCACTTCCGGCGAGCTGAGGTGCTGCAGCCCGCTCCCGGTCGGCACCGCCATCCTCCTGTTGGTCCGCGTGTTGTTCACACACTCCATGCCTGTGGCTCTGTCCACCCCAACCGGGTCACTTGTGAAACTAGGGAGACATGTACAGTGACATGGAGCTGAGCTGATGGCTCTCCTCCAAAAGCCACCTGAGGTCCTTGAGCAGCTGTGTCTGTGGGGGCGAAACCCCGCCCTCTGCCCTCAGATGTGGGGACAAGAGGTCTTCCCTCCCATTTCCCCGCCCCCCCCCCCCCCCCCCCGGGCGTGTCAGCCCTGCTGTGCTGGAGCGGGCCAGCCTCACAGGCCAGTCCGCTCCCACGCGGCTCAGTGCCCCCACCGCACGGGCCTCGGGCTCAGTGCCCCCACCGCCCGGGGCCTCCACTCAGTCCCGGCCCCTGGTGCCAGCTCAGCACGTCCTCTCGGCCTGTTTTCTCCTGGGAACTCCCGCCTGCCTTGGCCTGGCGTACCCGGCTCCACAAAAGGCCCATCTCAAGGCTGTCTCATGGGTTCCCTGGCCTTGGCGGTGGTGGCCTTCATTGTGTCCCATCACCCTGGACACCCACTGAGCTCTGGCAGTGCCAGCGGGGCCTTCCGGGGAAGCCGCGTCCTGTTGTTTCGCAGGACTTTGCCGAGGGAGGCACGCCTGTCTGCACGCCTGTGGGTTGACTTGCCTCCCCTCGGCCACCCGGGCAGAGCGGGAATGTCCTGTCACATGCCCTGCTGCTGTGCTCCGGGCACTCACACCTCAGCTCTGCCAGGGGAAGCCGGGAGACGGCTCTGGCTCAGGGTCTCTCCTGAGGCTGCTCCCAACTAACGCCTGGCTGAGCCCCTCTGAGCTCCCGGGCTCTGACATCACGGAGACAGCCGCGGTGCGAGCCGGCACCTCTCCCTCATCGGTGAAAGCCCAGCGGGGCGCGCTGCCGCTGCCTCCATGCTGCCGGGCACGTGGGCCCGCCCTCTGTGAAGCGGAGAGAGCCTCCGTGGGACTGTCAAGGGCGATGGGCCGTGGCACGTCCTGCAGGCTGTTCGCCTCACCTTCTCGCAGGCACGGGAGGGAGGCGAGAGGCGCCACTGCCCTGGCGTGGGCTGCTGCTTGGGGCAGGAGCCAGGTTCTCTTAGGGCCTTTCTACCAGACACCAGAGGCCACATCTGTCACACTCCCAGGCCACCATGGGCCAGACAAGCAAGGACTACGAGGAAGTGGGCACAAAACGAGGAGCTTCCGTTTTCATAGAAACGTAGGTTTATTCCGATAGAGACGTGCGGAATACAAAGGGCTAAAATAAAGGAGTCATCCTTAACATAAAATAACTGAACATTTTAATAACAATTATTTTTCTTGAACATTCACTTACCAGACACTGATAACTTCACAAATTATAAGTGTAACACAAATAAACCTATTTTTCTCGCTCTCCAAAGTGATATATTTCCTGTTGCTCACACCAAACAAGTCAGTCCCAGACTAACGACGTTGCCATCGGCCACTGACATATCCGCTGCTGGTGTTAGTGGAGGAAATGGTGCGCCTGCGCAAAGGGAAGTGAATGCAAACAGGATTCTAGTAATCAGCCATTAGTGAACGTTGTAGTTCATTATTAATAATTATGTAAAACAGGATATTGTAAAAATTAAGTCACAAAATTTTTATTAAAACGTTCCTTACATACCATTATATTGGCTGGGCCACAAAAATATTCATTGTGGGCCACATGCAGCCTGGGGCCGTGAGTTTGACACGCTTGGTGTAGACCCTGTAAAAGTCATGGGCTAGGCCCATGGCGTTCCTGCCTGCAGCCTGTGAACCACCGGCACTGCAAGGGGTTTCTTCGCTGGACTTGGTTTGGAAGGCAGGATGGCCTCAAGGCCAGGGTTTCACACCCACCCTGACGGGACTGGTCCGGCCTTTCGCAGAGGACAGGCTCTGCAGAACTGGCATCCACAGCGTCCACGCTGCCTCTCACTGCCTCTGCTCAGGCCGGACGCAGTGTCACAGGAGAGGCATCCCTGCCTCTGCAGTCCCCGCGGCAGTGCGCTGTGTCTGGCGTGAGGTTTGTACTTCATTCAGTTCAGGACTCCGGTCTCCGTTTTTAGAGCTTTCCTTCTTTCCCACCTTCCAGTGGGACTCGCCTTTTGGTCCGCACCGGGTGGAGGCACTGATGGGCACTGGTTGATGTTTGCTCCTTTGCCTGCCTGTCCTGTTTCTTCCCTGCAGAACGGGGAGCTGATTTATGGCTGCAAGGACGCCCGCAGCCCCGCAGTTGACTGGCGTGAGCTGGCACATCACCTGAAGCCCTTCTTCTACCCGTCCAACGGCCTGGCCAGCGGGCCCCACTGCGCGAGGGCCGTGATCCGGGAGCTGGTGCGCGTCATCACGCGGGTGCTGCTCAGTGGCTCAGACAAGGGCCGGGCAAGTGCCCTGAAGCTGGGGCCTGGGCCGCCAGGCCCTTGTGTCTGTGAAGCCAGCCCCTTCGGCAGGAGCCTGCGGCACCAAGGTAGGCTGGTGGCTGGCGGGTGGGCAGAGGCCGGCCGTCGCCTGCTAGGGTCCTGCCTGGCCTCGCAGAGCTTCTGCAGGAGCAGCCTGGGCCCCACAGGCCTCCCCAGAGCCAGCCTCCCTGCCTCTGAGCCTCGGTGGGGAGGCGCCCTCCTCGTCCCGATGTGGGTGTGTCCTTGCAGCCCAGGTCTTCCCTACATCCCTGTCCACCGTGCCCGTGTTTGTTGGTGCTTTCTCCACGCCCTCCTGGTCCTTCCTCGTGGTGCACTGGGCAGGCTTCCTCGGCCGTTCTCAGGCACAGGAGTGAACCCCACAGTGCAGGCCTTTGCAGGGGAGGGGAGGGTGCAGGGCCAGCAGGTGCAGGGCTCCTGGCTATGGCTCTCCCTGCTCGAGGGCCTGTTCCTCACAGACTCACCCGGAGCTGGCTGTGACTCGGTGGCCCTGGGTTCCAGGTGGCTAGCTTGGGTCTTTGTCCTGCGTGTCCCCACGCTCGTTTGCTCCTGTGTTATCCGCCAGCAGCTCACCATGCACTCAGGTCTGTGGATGAGGAGGGAACTAGGAGGCTTCTAAGAGCCCTGTGGTCTGAACTCTGGTGGGGCTGTGGGTGACTGTTAGAAGTGAGGTCACCCAGACACAGCCTGCACCACCACCCTCCGGGTGCCGCCTCTCCACGTGGGCTGTGGGTTGGGGCTTCACAGACATGCTCTCAGATCGGGGCTGTGAACATGTCCCTTTAGATGCCATCTCTCTCAGCAGCTCTGGGTGGTGTGATGGAGTTGATGGCTGTTGCAAGGAAGAGGCACAGAGCGAGACGTGGGTCACCTGCCCTTTGCTTTGTGCCTGGCCCTGTGCACGTGCCCGCAGCTCCCGCTCCTCTGTGAGGCGGGCAGCCTGTGCCTGCCGCCGACATCAGCCCTTGGCAGTAACCCTCCTTCTCCCCGGATGTCCTTGGCAGGAAAAAGGAGCCCGGAGCACTCGGGGTTGCCGAAGGACTGTCTTCTGTACCAAACCCTTCAGGTGCAGATGTTGGACCTGCTGGACATCGAAGGCCTCTACCCTCTGTACCGACGGGTTGAGCGGTACCTGGAGGAGTTTCCTGAGCAGAGGTGAGGCTTGGCCTGTGGTACCCCTGACCCCTGGGCCCCAGTGGCCCCAAGCAGCTCTGAGGGTGAGATGGGGTGTGAGGGTTAGGATCCTCCAGTGGAGGATCGCACAGGACTCCCAGGAGGCTGACCCGCCCCAGCCGCCTTCCCTCTGTCCCTCCTGGCGCCAGGCCCGCCCAGGGCAGTGCTGTGTGATCGTTTCTGGAAAAGCAGCACATCCCAGGAGGTGGACAGTCCACAGCAGCAGCTCTGGGTCCTGAGTCGGGGCTGAGCTGCAGGGGGCAGTGCTGCTCCACAGCCAGCACCTGTCTGCCCAGCAGCCTCTGCCTCAGGCCTCCCTGTGTCCTCCAGTCGGGGTGGCTGGGCCCACAGAAGTGGGTGGTGGGCAGCACCTCCCTCCCACTGTCCCTTCACGTGAGCTCTGACTGGATGCCGTGTGTCAGAATCAGGACGTGTTCGGCTCACTCCCGGCTTAGGCAAAGTGTAGAATGGAGGAGGAGGAGCCAGTGAGCCAGAGGTGTGGTTGCTGAGTTGTGAGCAGTTTAAGAAACAGTCCCTGTGCCTGTGGCATCTTATTTCTGTCCCTTTCCTTTAGGAAAGCGTTGCAGATCGATGGGCCTTATGATGAAGCGTTTTACCAGAAGCTGCTCGACCTTTCCACAGAGGATGATGGGACAGTGGCCTTTGCGCTGACCAAGGTGAGCAGGCCTTTCCAGAAGCGCCCGGTGTTCCGTAGGCTCTCACACTGAGCCGGGCTTTCTGAGAAATGTTTCCTGATGGTTGAAGCAGGAATCTGGGATTTTTTATTTTTATTTTTTCAAAGAAACCAGTTATATTGAGATACATATATCCAAATATTTGAAAAGGTGAACAATTTTATTTTTTTACAACTTTTTTTTATTGTTCAAAGTATTACACATAGTAGTACATGTATCTCCTCCCCGCCATTGACCTTCCCCCGCCTCCTCTACCCCCCACATGTTCACATCCCCCACCCCCAGTGTCTTGTGTCCATTGTGCTTATATGCATGCATACGCGTCCTTCGATTGCTCTCTTCACCCCCTCCCCAACACTCCCCAGCCTTCCCGCTGTAATTTGACTGTTCCGTGCTTTACTGCCTCTGTATCTATCTTTTTTTCCATCAGGTTATAGTGTTCTTTATTTTCCATAAATGAGTGAGATCGTGTGGTATTTTTCTTTCATTACCTGGCTTATTTCGCTTAGCATAATGCTCTCCAGGTCCATCCATGCTGCTGCAAATGGTAAGAATTCATTTTTCATAGCAGCGTAGTATTCCATTGTATAGATGTACCATAGTTTTCTAATCCACTCCTCTGCTGACGGGCACCTAGGCTGTTTCCAAATCTTAGCCATGGTGAATGGTGCTGCTGTGAACCTCGGGGTGCATATGTCGTTTCTGATTAGTGTTTCTAGTTTCTTGGGATATATTCCTAGGAGTGGGATTGCTGGGTCAAATGGCAGTTCCATTTTCATTTTTTTGAGGAAACTCCAGACTTCTCCACAGTGGTTGCACCAGTCTGCATTCCCACCAGCAGTGCACGAGGGTTCCTTTTTCTCCCCATCCTCGCCAGCACTTGTCGTTTGTTGATAATTGCCATTCTGACAGGTGTGACATGGTACTGAGTTTTTTTTTGTTTTTTTTGCATCTCTTGGATAATTAGTTACTTTGAGCATGTTTTCATATGTCTCTTGGCCTTCTGTCTTCTTTTGAAAAGATTCTATTTAGGTCCGTTGCCCATTTTTTAATTGGATCATTTATCTTCCTTTTATTAAGTTGTATAAGTTCCCTATAGAAGTTGGAGATTAAACTTTTATTTGCAAATATGTTCTCCCATACAGTGGGTTTTCTTGTTATTTTGTTGATGCTTGCTTTTGCTGTGCAAAAGCTTTCTATTTTGATGTGGTCCCATTTATTTCTCTTTAGTTTCCCTTGCTCTAGGAGCGGTATCAGTGAAGAAATTGATTCGACATACGTCTGAGAGTTCTCTGTCTGTGGATTCCTCTGGTATTTTTATGGTTTCCCCTCTTATGTTTATGTCCTGTATCCATTTTGAGTTTATTATTGTGTATGGTGTAAGTTGGTGGTCTAGTTTCATATTTTTTGCATGTATCTGTCCAATTTTCCCAACCCTATTTATTGAAGAGAATGTCTTGACTCCATTGTATGTTGATGTCTCCTTTGTCAAATATTAATTGAGCATAGTGGTTTGGGTCGATATCTGGATTCTCTATTCTATTCCATTGATCTATGAGTCTTTTCTTGTGCCAGTATCAGACTGTCTTGAGAACAGTGGCTTTGTAATACAGCTTGATATCTGGTATTGAGATCCCACCTACTTTGTTTTTCTTTCTCAGGATAGCTGTATCTATTCGGGGACTTTTTTTATTCCAGATGAATTTTTTTTGAGTTCTTTCTATTATAGGTCTGTGAAATATGCCATTGGTATTTTAATGGAGAATGCATTGAGTCTATAGATCGCTTTGGGAAGTATGAACATTTTAATGATGTTGATTCTACTAATCCATGAACATGGTATGTTCTTCCATCTATTTATGTCTTTCTCTACCTCTTTTTCAGTGTCCTGTAGATTTTGGCGTATAGGTCTTTTACCTCCTTTGGTAAAAGTTTATTCCTAGGTATCTTACTTTTTTAGGGTCTATGGTAAATGAGATTGCTTTTTTAGTCTCTCTTTCTGTAAGTTCACTATTGCTGTATAGAAATGCCATAGATTTCTTGGCTTTGATTTTGTATCCTGCTATATTGCTGAATTCATTTATTAAGTCTAATAGTTTTTTGATGGAGTCTTTTGGGTATTTTATGTACAATGCTAGAGGCCTGGTGCACAAAATTCATGCATGGGGTGGGGTGGGAGAGAGCTGTGTCCCTCAGCCCAGCTTGCATCCTCTCCAATCTGAGACCCCTCGAGGGATGTCCGACTGCCTATTTAGGCCCGATCCCAGTCAGACATCCCTCTCACAATCCAGGACTGCTGATTCCCAACTGCTTGCCTGCCTGCCCTCCTGATTGCCCCTAACCGCTTCTGCCTGCCAGCTGATCACCCCCTAACCACTCCCCCGCCAGCCTGATTGATGCCTAACTGCTCCCCTGCCAGCCTCATTGCCCCTAACTGCCCTCCCCTGCAGGCTTAGTTCCCCCAACTGCCCTTCCTTGCAGGCCCAGTTAACCCCAACTTCCCTCCTCTGCCAGCCTGGTCACCCTTAACTGCCCTCCCCCGCAGGCTTGATTGCCCTTAACTGTCCTCCCTTGTAGACCTGGACCCTCCCAACTGCCCTACCCTGTTGGCCTGATCACCCACAACTGCCCTCCCTTGCAGGCCTGGTCCTTCCCAACTGCCCTCCCCTGCTGGCCATCTTGTGGCAGCCATCTTTGACCACATGGGGGCAGGCATCTTGTGTGTTGGAATGATGGTCAATTTACATATTACTCTTTTATTAGATAGGATCATGTCATCTGCAAATAAGGACAGCTTTACTTCTTTTCCAATTCGGATGCCTTTTATTTTTTCTTTTTGCAATGGCTAATACTTCGAACAGGAATGGTGAGAGTGGGCATCCCTGTCTTGTTCCTATTTTTGTACCAGTTTCGGCCATATATGGCTTTTATTATGTTGAGCAATAATCCTTCTATTCCCACCTTGCTGAGAGTTTTTATTAAGAAAGGGTATTGGGCCAAAACTGGTTTGGCTCAGTGGATAGAGCATCAGCCTACGGACTGAAAGGTCCTGGGTTCGATTCTGGTCAGGAGCATGTACCTTGGTTGTGGGCACATCCCCAGATGCGGGTGTGCAGGAGGCAGCTGATCGACGATTCTCTCTCATCAATGTTTCTAACTCTCTGTCCCTCTCTCTTCCTCTCTGTAAAAAAAATCACTAAAATTAAAAAAAAAAGGAAAAAAAAGAAAGGGTGTTGGATTTTGTCAAATGTTTTATATGACTATGTGATTTTTATCTCTCAGTTTGTTTATGTGATGTATTACATTTATTGATCTGCAGATATTGTACCATCCTTGCATTCCTGGGATAAATCCTACTTGGTCATGGTATATGATCTTTCTGGTGTGCTGTTGGAGCCGATTTGCTAGAATTTTTTTGAGGATTTTGGCATCTATGTTCATGACAGATATTGACCTGTAATTCTCTTTCATTGTGTTGTTTTTATCTGGTTTTGGTATTAGGGTGAGCTTGCAAGTGTTCCTTCCTCTTGAGTTTTTTTGAAATATCCTAAGGAGGATAGGATTTTTTTTAATTTTTATTTTTATTGATTTTGTACAGAGAGGAAGGGAGAGAGATAGAGAGTTAGAAACATCGATGAGAGAGAGTCATCAATCAGCTGCCTCTTGCACACCCCCTTCTGGGGATATGCCCGCAACCAAGGTACATGCCCTTGACCGGAATCGAACCTGGGACCCTTCAGTCCCCAAGCCGACGCTCTATCCATTGAGCCAAACCGGTCTCGGCAGGAGGATAGGATTTAGTTCTTCCTTGAATGTTTGGTAAAATTCCGCTGTGGAGCCATCTGGCCCCAGGCTTTTGTTTGCTGGAAGCTTTTTGATGACTGTTTCAATTTCTTCCATAGTTATTGGCCTGTTGAGATGTTTAGATTCTTCCTGATTGAGTTTTGGAAGGTTGTATTTTTCTAGGAATAAGTCCATTTCCTCCAGGTTGTCCATTTTGTTAGAATAGAGTTGTTCATAGTATTTTTAAAGAATCCTTTGTATTTCAGTGGGGTCTGATGTTATTTCTCCTCTTTCATTTCTGATTTTGTTTATTTGGGTCCTCTCTCTTTGCTTCTTGGTGAGCCTGGGTAGAAGTTCATTAATCTTGTTTATCCTTTCAAAGAATCAGCTTTTGGTTTTCTTGATATTTTTTTTTTTTTTTTTTTTTTTTTTTTTTTTTTTTTGTCTCAATGTCATTTATCTCTGCTCTGATCTTTATTTCCTTCCTTCTGCTTACACTGGGCTTTTCTTGTTGCTCTCTTTCTAACTCTTTGAGTTGTAGGGTTAGGTAATTTATTACCATTGTTTCTTGTTTTTTGAAGTAGGCTTATAGAGCTATGAACTTCCCTCTGAAGACTGCTTTCACTGTGCCCCATAGATTTTGGATTGTTGTGTTTTTATTGTCATTTGTTGCCATAATGTTTTTTATTTCTTCTTTTATCTCTCTGATAACCCAGTCATTGTTTAATAGCATGCTGTTTAGTCTCCATGTTTTTTATTTTTTTTGGATTGTTTTTATTATAGTTGAATTGCTTGTGACCCAACATATGGTCTATCTTTGAAAATGACCCATGTGCACTTTAGAAGAATGTATATTCTGTGGCTTTGGGGTGAAATGTTCTGAAGATGGCAACTAATTCCATGTGGTCTAGTGAGACATTTAGGATTGGTATTTCTTTGCTGATTTTTTGTTTAGAAGATTTGTCCAATGGTGATAGTGGGGTATTAAAGTTCCCTACTATGATTGTATTGCTGTCAATCTCTCCCTTGCTATCCTTCAGGAGTTTTTTTGTTTGTTTGTTTGTTTGTTTATTTGTTTGTTTATGTATTTGGGTGCTCCTTTATTGGGTGTGTATATGTTTACCAGAGTTATTTCTTCTTAATACTACTTCATAATACTAAAGGGATTGCTCCCTTTAGTATTATGAAGTGGCCTTCCA